GGAGATGATCAAGAAGTGAGCGAGCGACAGTATGTGCTCGCTCACTTCCCGATCTATTGAGCCGACCTGTGACAGTTTCATTGTTACACGTCGGCTCGAACTATGAGGATGAGTGATTTTCACTGACTTCATAGTTCTCCTTTAATTCTATCTAAAACTTCAAAAAATGGCTTTATATACACTTTATGTCTTAGCTACAATTGGTAAAATTATAGCAACACGGCTTACAAAATTGGCACCGTTCCCAGGTCATAGTCGACCCTAGCAATAGTATGCTGAGAAACGTTCAATTGCGGAAGCAAGTTAAAGAAGATTTTAGGTATTTTTTTTTCCCATTTCCCATTTTATACCATTTTTTTCTTTTGAAGATAAAATACAGCTTCCAGCCAGGCCGCAGCTCCAAATCTGCACTGCATTACTTTGAAAGCATTAACTACAAACATGAATAATATTCTCAGCATACTAATGTTTGGGGGGGTTACTGCAAGCCAGGCATGCTGTCTCTACATGCTGATTTTTCTGTGTCTGTGCAATGTACTATTATAAATACACTGCGGTCTTGCCGTATAATTCTGTGTGTCTGCAGTTAATTATTAAACAAGCCAAGTTTTTTTTTTCCATACACAAATTTTAAAACTTTTCCCATCTTTATTTTCCTGGCTTTTGCACCTTCTTTTTTTAAAGCAAAACAACACAACTGGTTTTTCCTAAAGAGAATACAGTATTTTTCGCTCCATAAGACGCACTTTCCCCCCCCCCCCAAAAGGCGGGGGAAAATGTGTGTGCGTCTTACGGAGCGAATCCCTATCGCCCGACGCCCAGGACATGCAGTTTCGGGCGCCGGCTCAAGACAAGCAGAGCTAAATGTACAGTGGGAGCCTCTGCTCGTTTAATAGTTTAATACAAGTGATCTAATCAGATCACTTGTATAAAATCGAGCGGCGGCGATCGTGTTCCGAGCCCCCCGCGGTGGTTTTGCTGGGTCCCCCGCTGCTCTGGGGGACCCGTCACCATAGAGCCCCTAGAGCAGACGAAGAACGCCCGTTCTTCGTCTGCTCTGTGTGATCACTGAGACCGTGGCTCTGTAATCACAGCGCCACCTGTCTCAGCTGTGACTAATTACAGCTGTCACAGAACCCTCCCTGCGTCCTATGGTCAGGTTCGCTTTATAGAGCGTAAAATACGGTATTAAAAAAATAAATTCTTAATATCATTTGGCATCACTTGTCCCTGCTATTTCCAGGAGTTTTATTGTTGTGCAGTGTGTGCTCCTAGTCCTTTTGTCCTCTACCCTCCGCTGTACCCACTCTATTCATGCTAATTGCCTGAGCAGCCCATGCAACGAAAGCGCAGCAAAACTACCATTGCATTATGGGAGATTAGACCGACTAATCCCAGACCCACTGAGGTGTATAAGTGCAGAAAAAAAAAAGAATGCTGCACATGCAATGACAGTTAGAAGAAAATTCATAGGTACCTCATTAAAATGTAAGTTTTATATTCCCAAAAGAATATGTTGCAGTTTCTCTAGAAGAACAGTGGGATTATGTTATGTGCTTGTTTTACATACAAACAGTGCTTATCAGCCGCCCTCAATAGCTCTGCCCGCGTATTACATTCTCCCAAAAAAAAGAAAACCTTTTATTTGCTTAGCGCTGAAGGTCACTGGTCACCTGACAGAAGCCTGTTAATTGGGAGGACACACATAACCAGGCTCTTGTACACAGTTCCCCCCTGCGCACAATATATTGACTTGCCATGGTATCATCTGTATCTGCGAGGGGGGAGAGAAGAAAAAAAAAATCATCGTCCTTCCCAGCCGTGCAGGTAGGAGACTCGCAATATCAGAAGGCATTTGTGTTTTTCCTGAAAATGTGATTTCCCACCAGAGATTTCCTTCCCCTCTCGTTCCTACACTGACTGCATTGCAGACGAAAGCAGACAGCCTCGAGCATAGCGAGGGGTTGCAATAGTGTTAATGAGCAGTTGTTAATATGTTTTTTTTTTTTTTTCTTTCCTTCTTTCTTCCTTTGCCTCATTTTAGGCTACATTATGTATTCGTTAGCGCACCGGGGGGGGGCTGGGCAAGTATTTGCATCTCATTTCGGCAGCGTCTTCTTCAATCTCTTTTATGTGGGCTCGTTATATAAGTTATGCTAATGTTTTAATGATCCCGTTATGCGGTCGGCAAAGGTAGCATGTAACCCTGAATATCCTACGCCTGATCCTCCTATGTCTTTGATATGGCGACATGACACAGTTTTATCCGCCGCCACAAAGTTGATCAATATTCATTTTACTCCTTTCAGCTGCAATGTTAAGGGAGAGGACGGCGGGCTCGGCAAGCGTGGACTCTGTCGTCAAATATGCGCGGCGCGGCTTTCCAACACAGGTGCAGCTGAAATCTAAAATACACAGTATTAATTATAGAGCGTCAGGCTTCCAGAATAAATAAGATTGTTCTTTGTGTAAATGCTGCAAGGGCTCACCGAGGCCGCGCTGTTGATTTTTGTGTCAATTTCTATCAAAAGGTCAATGATCGCTCTTGGTGCTCCTCCTGGGACCTAGGCATAAAGATCTGGGGAAATAATTGCTTTTTTTCCCCAGTACTTTGCCCCATTTTATTGCTATTTTTTGCAATACTTTATACAGCAATGCAGAATGGCACCAGCTATAGAGGACTACAAATCCCAGCAATACATTATACAACAATGTAGAATAACATCGGCTAAAGAGGACTACAAATCCCAGCAATACATTATACAGCAATGCAGAATACCACCAGCTGTAGAGGAATACAAATCCCAGCAATACATTACACAGCAATGCAGAATGGCACCAGCTATAGAGGACTACAAATCCCAGCAATACACTATACAGCAATGCAGAATAGCACCAGCTGTAGAGGACTACAAATCCCAGCAATACATTATACAGCAATGCAGAATAATACCATCGGCTATAGAGTACTTCTTACAGGAGCTGCTGTCAGCATTCAGGGCCTGAATGACAGCTGATTCCTACATGTTACTCTGGGAGAAACGCTTTTCTGGTGCAATGTGTGGGGCCTGGCTGTTATGTTTGACAGGTGGTCCCACTCTGTGTATCAGAAGCACTGACAGTAACTCCTAATGCTAACAGTGGGACCCGGCTGTCCAACTGATACTGCAGTTAAGCCCTGACACATGTCCTGGGACCAGTGCACATATTTAAAGCTGACATCTAGAGAGATACAAAACATGCAAAGAATTGCAGTACTGCTTTTACTAAATTAGAACTGGATCCAAATCCCAGAACTTTGGATTTTGGGATTTTCTTTCACTTTCAGTGATAGCGGTCACCAGGACAAATAGAGAGGGTGAATGTCCCTAACGGGGACACAGACTGCAATAAAAACCTGACAGGTGCTCTAATCCCTCTCCACTCGACCCAAAGTAATTTAAGCACCTGAATCTGACTTGCTATCAGCCTCTTCTGGTCCCTGTACAGCAAAGCTCAAAGTGGTAGAGGAAGAAACAGCACAAGGAGGCCATCAGTTCATGTGTTGAAAAGGAGCATACTAACAGGAGGAAAAAGCTGAGGGACAGTAAGATTAGCTAAACACTGTGCTACTTTACCTTTCACTGTCCAGTCACAGGATGGGGGCAGGTCCATGACATCCTGGGCTCAGAGGAAGTGGGTTGTCTAATGCTGGCCGTCACTAAACCTGGAAGAATAAGGACACCTAGTGGGAGAAAATGACTACTGAAGGGGACAGCTGGGATTGAAGTTGCATATTGCAGCAATTGTTTTTTATTTTTTAATAGGCTATTCACTGTTTTTGTTTTTAAATTTTTGACTCGAGTTCTGCTTGAGGCCCACTGCAGATCTACGTGATCCGGGATCGCGCATCCCGTGAGCGCGCAGCCCCCATTGATTTCAATGGGGTGACACCTGCCCGGCAATTGCAGAAAAAAGGTACATTTTTTTTGCGATACACGACGCGCGGCGGTTTTAGCTGTGTTCGGAAGCACGGACGGAATCGCAGCGGGAAACCATGCGACCCGCCCGCTGCAACTGGGGTGCCATTAGAAAATAATGGCACCCACAACGCGATTGGTGCACACCTAGGCGACTCCTGACTCTCTGACAATCCACACGGAATCGTGCACGATTGCCGCGCGGTGAGGTGTTGCCTAGGTGTTCACCGGCCCTTATACAAGTGAGGAGGTGGAGGGTCTGAAAAGTGCACCACATTGTGTCACTATGGCCATGACATTGCGTGCTATGCTCCTCTGAAACACTGACTGACTTCTAGAATACAACTGGATATGCTGGCTTTACATACAGTCAGATTTGTTTATTTGTTTCCCTGACTTTGTCTTGTTCATTTATTCTGCCGAATACATCGGGGGTGACACACTTCCCACAGAAGTCAGTGTGACATGTGGGGGCTGCTGAGCTACTGAATGAAGGCGGCACAGACCCGGAACGGATGTCACCAACACATGCGCTGCGGCTGGAACAGGCTGTTCTACCCGCCTCGCTTTATTTTTTATTCATAGCCCTTTTTTTCCATACAATTGAGCACCTGTTGAGCATTTTATTGCCGTCTTTTTTTTTTCCTGGTTGGAAAACATTTGTAGGTGGAAGCTATAAGCACAAACCCGTATCTATTGGGTGCGTTCGTTTCATGGCGTTTGAAGTCTTGGCTCTTAAAACATAACTGTTGCTTACAAACAAGCGTCATGTGGGCTCAGTCAGCGAGAACAAAGCTAATCGATCCTCCAGAAACAAATGTATAAAAGGAGGAGGAAAGAAATGCTGTTGCCTCCAGCACCCAGCTAGAGATCAGCTGTCATTTCTCTAGTGTGGGAATGGATACAATGTTATGGTTTGCTGTGGTCAGCACTGGACCTGAGAGTAAGTGTGCCTGTGTTGCCTATAGCAACCAATAAGAGTATATTAAAACTGTTTCAGAATGGATATGTTAATAAAATTGTATTTTTTTTTCTTATTCTTGCAGCTTTGATACTACATTCCGTGGATGAAGATTGCTAAATAACCTTGTGACGATACAGCTCAAATATGGAGACAACAAATGGTATGTGGTCTTAGATTTTTTTTTTACAATAGGATGTTGTCATAATGTGCATATACTGTATGTAGGTATAAAAATATTGTTCATTGTTGAGAAAAACTTAGTTTACACCCAATTCTGGGCTGTTTTTTTAAAAAGCTCCCTCCTGTAAACAAACTTCTGTAGCTAAAATACTTTGAGGGTTATTCACAAAGCTGCCGAAGGCAGCCGAGCGAATAACCCGCCGAAGCAAAGTGAGCCAAACGCAGTTCGGCTATTCACTTCAGGCTTGTACAGCTGATTTCAGCCGTACATCGGCTAGCTTCGGCCGCACTTCGGTCAGCCGAACATGCTCAGCATGTTCGGCTGACCGAAGCTGAGCTGAAGTGCAGAAGGAGTTCGACTCAGCCGATCCAACATCTGACGAGGGAGCACGGAGCCGGCTTCTCGGCCCACCGGCAAACCGGACTCTGCGTCATTACATGGCGCCCGGCTTCCTGATTGGCCAGAAAGCCGATTTCCATGCGTTCTCATCATCTAGTGACGAGGAGCATGGAGATGGCTTCCCTGCTAATCGGGAAGCCTGGTTGCGAGTCATTACATGCCGCCTGGCTTCCTTAAAGGAGAACTATGAGGCGAGTGAAGTTCTAGCCGACCTGTGACAATGAAACTGTCACACGTCGACTCAATAGATCGGGAAGTGAGCGAACACATACCGTCACTCGCTCACATCTCGATCCTGTCCCTGCAGAGAGAGCCGTGACTGTCACTCACGACTCCCTGCAGGGATTCCCCCCTCCCCTGGCCGATCCTCCAGCGGACGGGGCGGGGGCAGCTGGGTCTGCCTCTAGATAGGCAGAGCCAGCTGTCACTCAAGCAGCTGGGTGGATCCAGACAGTAATGTCGGGATCCGTCCCGGCTGCGGCATCTCAGTATACTGCAAGCTACACTGAGCTTTGGGTGATGGGCGGACGCTAGTTTGTGTCCTCCCGTTACCCTTAGGAGAACTATGGGGAAAAGCCCTGACCTCATAGTTCTCCTTTAATGTGACTTCCAATATCAGTATTTGGTATCGGTGAGTACTCGATACCGATAAAACGGTATCGGTGCATCCCTAGTTACAGCAAAAGCCGGTGGTCCTAGATGACAGAATGTTCCTACACTGTGGCATCCACGGAGCGCCTTTTCTAAATGAACATTAATATAAACCAAACTGCATTTCATTGTCATAAAATAAACAGTCGTTTTTTTAATGCTGCATTCATCACATACCAGGAATACTATCGTGGTTCTTGTTCAAAAAAAACCCCAATCCATAAGTCCACAGATCTGGCCTTCTTCGTTTAGGTTTGGTGTTTACAATAAATACTTCCCTTGTGGTTCTGTTCATGTACATACCGATGTGTATGATGAGTTCACAGAAGTATATTTTTAGAGGTATGTGAGATGGCTCACGGAATACCTTATGTCTGGGGGTTTTTTTTTTGCTACTACCGTGTTTCCCCGAAAATAAGACACTGTCTTATATATTTGTTGGCTGAAAAAAACACACTAGGTCTTATTTTCGGGGTAGGTCTTATTTTTTTTTTTTTTTTATGTACAACAATCCACACTTATTTATGTACAACAGTCTAACAGTCTACATGTATTCATGTACAAAAATATGATCAGGGCAATCAGGGGTGCCGTACCTTTCCAAGAGAAATTTGCTAACCAATTGCTGGCCAGAATGAGCGAAGCGCACTTTCACTATGGATACCTCACAGGCGGAGTGCATTTGGTATGACTCCGCCTGTGACGGGAGCCGGCGCTATAGAGGAGGCATCGGCTTATGCGGCTCTGCTCCCTCCGCTGCCGCCTCGCTTCCTCTAGCGCTGGCTTCGTTGGCACCACTGACTCTCTCCTGACTCTCTCCTGCCTCTCCCGCGGCTTTTCAAGTTTCCCCTTATGCCACCACCGGCCCTGGGAATGGTCACAACTAGGTCTTATTTTCGGGGTAGGTCTTATATTTTAGCAATTCCCAAAAATAGTACTAGGTCTTATTTTCGGGGTAGGTCTTATTTTCCGGGTCAGTACACACAACGACACGCTGATTCTGTGGGGAAATAGGCCTCACACTAAGGACTAAACTGACACTTAGGCCAGGTGCACACTTGGGCGATCCTGGGACCACACGCTCGTTATCAATGAGGTTATATCCACGGAGCAATCGTACCTTTTTTTCGTGACACGTAACACACTTTTTTTGTAGCCGCGATTGTGCCTGATTGCACGGGCGTAATTGTGGCGGGAAACCGCGCGATCTGCCTGCTGCGACTGGGGTGCCACTAGAAAAGAATGGCACCACCAGCGCGATCAGCAGTGGTGTGCAATTCCGTGATGTGTACGATTGCTGCACGGTCACGGATCGCCTGAGTGTGAACCGGGCCCGACTGTGTTTTACCGATGTATTGGCCTTGCTATATTTGTTTTCTTTTTACATGTAGGCATGTGTAGTAGACATGTAACCCCACAAAAACAATTTGCTTCGTTCCGTTTCGGATCGATTGTGATTTTTATATTTTTAATTTTTTGGCTTTTGGATCCAAAATTCGATTCAGTTTGATGTTCTTTATTCAAAGTTTGAATCCATTCGAATTTTCGATTTTCGTTTTGAATTGATCCAAATTTTGCGTTTTGGGTCTATTCGGATGGGGGTGCTTCAATTAAAAATGTATTATTTTGTGGCGTTTTTTGGGTCATTTTCGTTTCGTGCTGGTCATCTTACTCTGTACTAGTCCATACTGGTATTTTTATTTTCTTAATCTTAGCCCATACTGGTTATTTTAGTCTGTGAAAAAATATGATAGGGGGTCCCCATATCGGGTAAACCAAAGTGGTCAAAGCTCCCAAAATTTACTAATGCTTCAATCAAATCTAATCAAAATAATTCTCAAGGGGTATTAAACCCAAATGATTGATAGTAAATACAGTAAGAAGATAACCCCCATAGGGATGTACTCCGAATACAGGCCCGGATTCCCCACAAGGCCACAGAGGCCCGGCCTCGGGGCGGCAGGGCGCAGAGGGGCGGCAGCGGTGTCCTTGTGGGGAAGTTGCCCTCTCTACATTCAGTCCTGCTTTGTACAAGGCGAGCTAAATGTAGAGTGAGGCAGACGATTGTTCGTTTACATGTGAAATCGGCGATGTCACCGATTTCACATCTAAACAGTGTGCAGCCTCCTCCCCTCCCCCCTGCACTTACCTCTCTCCTATGGTTCCGCCCTCCCCCGCCGAGTCCCGAGTCTCTGACTGCAGTGAGCAGAGCGGCTGCGCTAGAACTCCTGTATTGGAGGTGACAGTGTCAATAAAGAGAACCTGTCACCTCCAATTGCTATTACACAGGGTATTGTTTTCTCCTGTGTGATAGCAATAAAGTTAGGTGGAAAAAAAACATTAAATTGATAAAAAATTCGATTATCTTCTTCTTTGTTATTTTAGTCTGTAGTGGTTCCTTTTGTGGAGTGATAAACATTTTCGTTTCGGAACCATTGGAGATCAACATAACCTGTGCCTGTAATTCAACCCCCCCAACAGAAAAAAAATCTGATTGGCCAGAGAACAGTCAACTGTGCAATTTAGTTTAGTTTTGGACGAAATTCGGAATAAAAATTCTGATTCGTTTGAATTCAGAAATTCAGATGCATCTAAATTTCCAAATTCGGAACGAAACAAAATGTACATGTCTAATGTGTAGCTTATACCATGCGGAGCGGTGAATTCATTCTGGGCGATGTTGGTTTTTGATGCAGGCCTCGTGACGATTTCAAAGCTGCCCTAACAGTTAAAATTAGCAAATTGTCTCTCTAACATTAAAGCTTCATTATCACCTAACTAATGCTCTAAAATGAATTCATAAAAGTGTAGCTGTCCATTTTTTATTAGAAATTGCCCATGTTTCCCTCCACCTCCACTTAGCTACAAATCAGACCATAGATGCAGTGTGGTCCCCCGTCACACTGCCCTGTCTTTAGCTTTGATTATGGCACGCATTCGCTGTGGCATCGTTTCCACAGCCAAAGGCGGTCTAATGAAATATTGTGTGACTTTTTTTGTGGCCAGGCGGTGTAGATTTGTGCTGCACTATCAAGCGGTTTACACTTTGTGCAAGGCCATGTGGTTAGTTCACTAAAGGAGTAGGTGAATTTTCACATTGCAAGGGAAAATTATTTTTTTTTAAAGATGCTTTTTATTGGTATTTTCAGAGGTTATACACTTATACACAACAAGAAAAAACAACAAACAATAAAATTTAGACACTGGGCTAACAAAACCCAGAAATAATTGTCACACAGATGTCATGTACATACATATTAGGTTTACAACTCCAGAGCAGAGATTATGAATGACCAGTTAAGTATATACTCAGTACCCAAGTATCGGTAGTTACATAGTTACATAGTATTTGAGGTTGAATAAAGACATAAGTCCATCAAGTCCAACCTATTGCGTGTATGCATTTATGAGCTGGTGTGTGCGTGTATATGTGTCCATGTGTGATTTTTCTCTTAGCACTACCTGTACCCCTGTGTGTTATGGTCTCCCAGGAACTCGTCCAGGAGTCTCTTGAATGATTCCACACTCTTAGCTGAAATCACTTCCTGTGGCAGTGAGTTCCAGACCTTAACGGCTCTAACTGTGAAGAACCCCCTGCGCCCTGTGGTGAAATTTTTTTTCCACCAATTTTTGGTTGTGCCCTCTGGTCTTTGTGACGGAGCTAACCGTAAAAAACAGTTTGTTACTAAGGTTGCTGTCACCCTTGAATAGTTTATACATGAAAATCATGTCCCCCCTTAATCTCCTAGCCTCCAACGAGAACATATTTAATTTTAACAACCTTGTTTCATAGTTCAGGTCCTCGAACCCCTTAATGAGTTTGGTTGCCCACAGTAAGCACAGTAAGTGTTTGTGAAGGAATTCAGGGAGTGCTAAGATTGTCAGAAGCTCCAGTATGACACGGAGCAGTGAGGTTATTTAAACAAAGT